TCTCAGAGATCACCAGATTTCCAGATGATTTAAAAATTTAAAAACTTAAAAAAATTAAAAATTTAAAAATATAAATCGAAATCTTTTATATTTTTTAATTTCTTTAAATTTTTCAAGGCTCCGAAAAATTTAAAAAATTTTAGAAAATTAAATCACAATCTTATATATTTTTTAAACTTGTGAAATTTTTTAAATTTTTTCAAATTTTTAAATCATCTGGAAATCTGGTGATCTCTGAGAACAGTCCTACGATTTAAATTTTTTAATTTTTTTAAATTTTAGGAGGCTCCGAAAAAAGTAAAACATTTCAAAAATATAAAAGATTGCGATTTAAATTTTGAAATCTGAACATATCAGACGACAGCCCAATTTAAATACTTTATTTTTGATATAGTATATAATTATTAATCTATATATTATATGTTAGCTTAAATTATCTCAAGGCAGACTGCGCGGCACATAGGGTATACTCTTCCCTCTTACTCCCCCCCCTCCCATGTGATGATTCATTGATAAATCAATTGTTTTGCACCCCTCCCCTCCACTCCCCTCCCCATCCCCTCCCCTCGCCAGCGCCACTAGCATTCTGGACACACCGTCACACCATAAGGTGAATAAGGTGAAGTCATGCGCGTAGCAGTCACACCAGTACGACGCTGGCCATGAGGTTGCGCAATACAGCACGAACCCTGCGCAGTGAGGTTGCGCTATGCGGCTTCGATGCTGCGCGTGCGCGCCCGGCAGCCTGACATAGCGCGTACTGCGTTCACAGACCATATTGCTCGACACCAACGAGCATCGATGCAACACAGCCTCTCTGCAAAGCCCTGTGGAGAAACCTCTCGCTTCGCGGAGCACCATTCGACTCAGCCTTATACCCTCGCGTGGCGACATCTTACCGCATCGTGGAGCACCGCTACACAGCTATTTACTATTACGCACCCTTCCCATCAGCCACCCACCATAGCGTGACGTCCATCCCTGGCAGTACCGGCGGCTGCGACGCAACGCGTGCAGGCCTGTAATCCTGACGCAGTGCGTGTAGCTGTGGGACCATAAGCTGGTTAACGTGCGAGCGTTTACGCATTGCGACTTTTACGCGCGCCTGTTTTCACACACCTTTACACAAACGAGCGTCGACGCAACGCAGCATCTCTGCAGAGCCGGGTGGCGCAATCTGATCGCAACGGTGTTCCTCTTGAGCCTTCTTGTGCTCTTTGGCTTTGTTGGTTTCATCCATGACTGTTCAAGGGGAACGTTCCTGAAACACTGGAGACAGTCCCTCACCAGAAAAGGTCCCGACAGCTACCCGGTCCGTCTCTACCTTTCGTGTTTCCTTGCTCAAGTGACTACGAGAAAGGTCGATATGAGAGGTTGCTAGAATTTGCAGAATGAAAAAAGACCACCCGGAAAGGATTCCACCAGACACCTCTAGGAACACCGTTCTTGAGAGGATGAATCAAACAGATGAAGAACGATATGGATAGAGAACGCGATGGCGGCAGAGTGAGCTAGAATCGCGATTCGAGCGCTCACACTACCGAGCAGGAGTTTCAAGGTATGTACATTATGATCATTGGTGCTTCACCTGACCGCGGCCCTTTTTGTGTCAAAAAGATTCGCAAACTTACGCGTTCCATTGCGGGCTGTCTGGAAAATGTATTTTTGCAGGTCAACCATGCAAATGCACTGGGGGTAGGGATGACAAACACTAGTGATTTTGGCCAGCCTTAACGTTCTTAACAAGAATGGCCATACAGAAATGAGCTCGAAGAGAGAACCGATGCCAGCAGTTTTTCACACGTGAGAGATTTCCTCCAACCACGTGCTTCCAGGAAAACACCTTTCCGGTTTCTCCACCGACCTGAGCGGCTCCTTGAGCTTCCCAGTGTCCTTTTGCCCCCAACACCTTCGACCTGTTCCGGGCCGGGCGGCGGCTCTCCGAGGAAGGAATCCGCTCCACCGAGCAGCAATTCACGGTCTCGCAGAAGTGGCGGGGCTTTTGCTGGCAGCCAAGGCCTCGGTAGATGCCAAGAGCAATGGTCGCCGGGGGCCTCGGGTCCTGGGAGAGACCTTGGGCTCCTTTGAGGCCTTCATGAGGATACAGACGGCTGACGTTGTAGGGGCTTTGATTCGTCCTTCTTATGTTGCATCCTTTTCTGTTCCTTGATGTTGCTATTATGTTTCTGCACTCTTTGGTTTCGGCGCTGTCGGTTTCGCCGTGCTGAGAAAGAACACCTTTAGTCCTCGCCATAGTACATGGCAAGTTAGATGTTCCACATCAATAATCATAGGCGTCAATGGCTTTGATACTTTGGCCAGTCTTAACGTTCTGAGCCAGAATTGCCATAGTTGGGCATACAGACAATTTTTTCACATGGTATCTCGGCTTTCATCTTTGAGATAGATTTCCTCCCAGCTCCGACCTGCTCCGGGCCGCTGGGCAGCCGCTCTCCGAGACGAAACTCCCCTCCACCACGCAGCGGCGAATGGCCGCGGAGAAGTGGCGCGGCTTTTGCTGGGAGCCAGCGCAGCGGTGGATGCTAAGAGCGGCTTTGGCCCGGGTCCTCGGGTCTGGGAGTTTGTGGGACGGGGAGATCTTGGGCGCCTCGAAGGCCATTGGGCTCCTTTGTGGCCTTGATGAGATTAGAAGCGGCTTATCCCATACGGGTTTTGATGGGTTGTGTTGGCTTCTGCTCCATTTTTTATGTTGCATTTGTTTGAGATATTGGATACGCGTGATTTTTCTGCGCTCTTTGGTTTCGGCGCTGTCGGTTTCGCGGTGCTGGGCAAGAACGCCCTAACGTGGAAAGTCAGATGCCAGCAAGATGTTCCACATTTCAGAAAAGTAGTCAACAATTAAAGGCATCAATGACTGAGACACCAACCCAGCTAATTGGAATTTGTGGACTGACAGAATACATCAGAATACTATAACAAGTAAATCTGGCCAGTCTTAACGTTCTTATAACCATATACAAATGATCTCGAAAAAACAAAATACGCAGTTTTTCCCACCCGCCGGGCAGCCGCTCTCCGAGGTGAAACTCCACTCCACCATGCAGCAGGAGAGGGTCGTGGAGATTTGGTGCGGCTTTTGCTGGGAGCCAGGGCAGCGGTGGATGCTAAGAGCGGCTGTAGTCCGGGTCCTCGGGTCTGGGAGTTTGTGGGACGGGGAGATCTTAGTCTTGGACGCCTCGAGGGCCATTGGGCTCCTTTGTGGCCTTGATGAGATTAGAAGCGGCTTATCCCATACGGGTTTTGATGGGTTGTGTTGGCTTCGTTGCTTCGTTCCTCTCTTTTGTTTAATTTGCTTATGTTCTTTGATGTTTGATGGCAGTTGTTCGTGCGTCGATCGGGGGTCTCTCCTTGGAGTTTCAGACGGAGATTTTTGGGCCCTTGGAACCTGGAACCAGTTGGCCGTTTTGGACCGGATGAGGGTAGACACTGCCGCTCTTTAGGATTTCTTTCGTCGTGGATGTGGTATGTTTAACATTGTTTAGCAATGTTTCTGGTCTGGCTGTCATTATTTGGTTGGATGATGGTGGAAGGGCTTTGATGCAATCATCCAAGCGCATATCAGTCGGTCGTGACGCTGGAATTGAAGCCTGTCCCTGCAGGTCGGGAGTAGGTCACATTTCTGGTAGGTTGGTCTTGGTCACCGTTGCGGTGTGGGTTCTGCGGCGGTTGAGGCGAGACGCCGCTGGATGCCGCAAGAAATTCAGGCCACACCGAAGTTGTGAGGATCCTGGAGGCGGCAGCGTCTCGGCTGCGTGTCAGAGACCTCGACGTTCGAGTGTCTCAGTTGCGGCGTCCACTTTTGAGCGCTTAGTTTGTAAAGGATGTGCGCTAGCGCCTACTGGTACCTATATTCACACCGCTTCGAGGTGGAAGCCACCCACCTGCACAGATTAAATGGTAAATTGTATCAGTAGCGCCCCGCGAGGATACAGGATGGCTGTGGGAAGCAGCAGCTTGTTCTGCTGGAGCCGGTGTGTCTCGGTCTGTCTGTCTCAGTCCGTCTGTCTTGGTCGGTCTGTTTCAGTCTGTCTGTCTCAGTCTGTCCGTCTCGATCTGTCTGTCTCGGTCCCATGTTCTACACACAAAATGCACCCCCCCAAGCTAAAGCTGAAGCTGTTTATCTAGCTAGCATATTCCGGTTTGTTGATTGCCTCGAAGCTTACACAACGCCTCAGCGCCTTCGGTGCGGGCGGATTTGGCTCTCAAGAAAAAGGTGTATTTTTCAGGCTGTTACTTGTTTGAGATATAGGTTATCAGCCGTAGGGGTCTTTTCCCTCGTCGCTTTCACTCGTGCCTCGCATTGTGCTCATGGCTGCGCCAGGGACCCCTGTGATCATTGACATTTTGTCCGACAGGGATGTCATGTCTGCGCGAGAGAATACAACGGAAGCTGCGAGCCCAACCGAAATGCGTTGGTTCCTGTTGGAATTGGGTTTCCGGCTTGGCCTGCAGTTCCCAAAGCCACGCCGACGGGACATGACGCAAGCGGGAACGCTGTGCTGACTCACGCCAACAACCAATTCAATGTATTGAATCAGCGTGTCCATGTTCTCCAAGCTGCCACCGCTGATGCGAAGTTCGTTGAAGCGATTGGCGAGGAGAGACATCCGCAGGCCATGGAAAGGCTCATGTTTGTGAGCGCTCAGCGTGACGAGTGACGAGTTGCGAGCGGAAGGACAAAAGGTTATGACTGAAGCTGCAAGTGTGTTCAGTGAAAGAAAACGAACCGCTGAAGCACGAAGCAGACGGCTTCATTGAGGCTACAGCAACGGGCTACGAAGCATATGCTGAAGCATCGGCGTGAGAACTTAGACCAATGAAGCAACATTTTCAGAGCCAGTTGTTGGATGCACTTGCTCGAAGTGACAACACCATTGGAAAGCTGTTGCTTCCTTGAATGAGCGCGTTGAGTATCGAATCGCCTCCATTTGGAACTGGGGCAGGCGACGTGCAATCTCAGCTGAATGCGCTGCGCTATTGCCATTGAGCCCAGATGTCAGAGACAAGGGCTCACCAACCACAGGGTCCAAAATATTCACCTTCTCTCGTACCTCAAGGTGCCCTTCGACCCAAAATATATTAAGGAAGATACCTGGGTTACCACTCCCAAGTTTGAAGTAGAGGAAAACATTTTTTTGCAACTTCGTTGAGCCCAGGTAGACTGCATGATTTCATGAGTGAACCAGCGCCACCAGCGGATGCTCTTCATCCCGAATGGACAACCTGGAGGTGACCCCTCTCCAAGGGGAACCTTCGGCCGGACCTGAAGAAAATGGCAGGTGGAAGCGACGATGATGGGAGCGAGGGCGATGATGGCGTTTCGGATTGAGATTTGTCAGACAAGTTTTCAATCGGACCAACAGTGTTTGGAAGGCTCATCGCCGGTTTGGTCGATCCAGAGGGATTCACAACGCACACCAAGTTGTTGTCAGTGCTCGCCAACGCTTTTCAGGTGAAGTCGCAAGAAAAGTGAACCTTTCCAAGGAGAAAGAGTCTGCGGCCGACTGTTCAGCAAGAGGAAGACAAACAATCTTTAGCGAGTGGCACGGCAATAATTGGGGTTCTCGTGGGAAGGGGCCCAGTCCAATGGGGTTCTCGGAATGGGCTCCGTGGTCCACGAATGGCTCATCTATTCTTCGCTAGTCGTCGGAAGTGGGAAGGTTCGCCGTATTGGTTTAGGTTGTCTTGCCTTGTGCAGCGCATGTCTCGCTTTAATTTCGCGGCCTTTGGGCACCGTGGCAGGGCGCCCAGAGTGCTGGGTGGAAACCCATGCTTGCGGCTTGAGCATCCCGCCTTTGATCGCGAAATACATGCCGCTTGACCCAATTCTCCATTGCAATGCTTTCGTTCGCACATTGTCCTGGCCATGTGCTCAGGTCTTCATCGTGGCCAGTTTTCTGCCTCTTCGGTGCCGCCCGTGATGAGCACGGGCCGCAACGCGGGGTATTTTTGTAGACTAGCGCCGACTGACCTCTACATTTGGCTCAAGAAAAATGTGCATCTTTCAGGCCGTGACTTGCTTGAAATAGGTTCGGCCAGCCAAGGTTTCAAGCGAACAAGAGATTCAGATGGCCCGGAGCCAAGACAACTTCCACGCGAGCGGTTTTCGGTCTGAGTACTGGGAAGGCAAACATCAAAGATCAGCATTCTAATGTGAAGTTGAGTTGTTTGTTTTCGAGAGGCTCCAACTTTGACATTATCGAACCTGAGCTCACTGGCAACCACTCACAAGTCACAACCAACCAACCATTGATGAAAGGAATTATGTGGATCCCCCTTCCACTGCTGTACATATGTCAAATATATGACATTTATGGCAAATATAAAGGTATAGAACAGCAGTTATCATGATTTGTCGTCGGGTTGTTTCCTTTTCATGATCATCCACAAGCTTCACGCCGGGTCTTTGCTTGCCAGGCCCCAACGAAGGGCAAAGGAAAGCAGCATGGGTGTGGTGCTGAGGAAATCATGTCTTGCACGTCGAGTGGCTGGCTGTGGGTGGGGGGCACTAGCAGCTCAGAAAGTATTACTTTTTGTTTTCGTTGGACTCAAGGGCTGCCCTTTCCTTCAAGCAACGGGTGTGTCCATTTCAATGCAAAGTTTGTGTGAGGGCAGTACAAACTGTAAAGTCTTATTGTAAGATAACTTTGGCCGGGATCTTTGGAGCTACAGAGGAACTTAATTACACGTTACGATGTTCGACTTAAGCAACTTGCTGATAGTTTCACGACTGCAAACCATACCCTCCCCTCCATTGACTAGAGTATATGAATGCCTACATTGACTCCTGAAACCATCCCAATGTAGGTATAGATTTCATACATGGAGTGTTATACTCTAGATTCTTGAATGTTTTGGGGATCGCCTCCAAAGCACAGGAACCACTCGCAGGTGTTGCTTTCACGGAAAACCACAGAACACTAATTCAGTCGATACATAAGTGCAGGGAGTGTTTCTGCTTGCTTATTGAATGTTCAAGGTTGAGAAACCAGCCAAAACATGCGCACTGTTTTGTAGATATCCTCGAGAAAATGCACAGTAGTTAGACACAATCGTCCCGCTGCACACCACACCAGTTTGTTGAAGAGTCTCCAACTAGAGAACCCATGAGAACTGCGACTCGCACATTTTCATTTTTTTGCGGGGCCCCGCTGCCTGACAGAAAACACGTATTGAAGCCATCCAGACTGCAGAAAAGTCATACGAGACAGCCGTGTACACCCATGTACACCTGCGCACATTCTCTTCCCCTCCCAAGATATGCGTGTTTGAGAAGAACAATCAACCAACACTAACATGTTGCGAACTTAGTATCTCCAAGCCCGCGTGTCACGTGCAACAACATTGCTGCATTACTGTTGCTCAGGGCATGCCAGCATTTCTCAGTCTGTTTGGATGGCTGTCAGTCATTATGGTGTGTGTGCATAAATAGTGCATAAGTATCATTGTTCTGAAAACAAATCTAATTGTATTTGGAAGACTTGGATCATGATCAACAAATTTTAGTAATGTCAAGGCAGCTTGAACACAAGGGCCACCTGGTTTATCGTTTATCACACTTCAGCCCACGTGTTTTTTTGTTCCCTGAAGCCAGACGAACACGGCGTAGCCCGTTCTTTGGGTCTTCGTTCTTTGCGGATCCTGTGGCGAAAGCCACAGGCAGAAGAGCGCTGCCGCCCATACGCGCGGATCAGATGCGAGCTGAAGAAAACAAGACACGGTGTTGAGACGCACGCTGTGCGCCATGTTTGACATGTCATGTCATGAGTTTCTTTTTCAAACCAACCATATCCCACCGTAGAGGGTGGGCTCGAGAAGCTTGGAAAAGCTGCGTGTGGCGTTAAGTCGCCTTTTGCCCTTAGCTTCGACCTCGTCGTTGCTTCGTATCCGTGTGCCGTGGACTTCGTGCGCTACGGCTACTTCTCTACATTGGTAGCGGAGCCACCGGTCTGGTGGCTCCCTGCCTGTGCACTCCGCGACTACGAGCTCTTTGTCCTGGTTGAGACCTACGGTGGGTTTGATTGTTCTCGCTCTTGCATGGTGGTTCCTTCTACTCCAGCACTACGCCCGTGCAGAGCCCTACGTCCCTGAGAACGTCACCATGGCCTCGAAGAAGGCCCAATCCGCAGGCTCAGGTCAGAGCTCGAAAGATGGCACGTTCATGGACTTGAGGGACAGTTTCGTGCCGCTGTTTTCCGGCCAGCCGGCCGACTATCGGGAGTGGAGAGCTCGCATCCATCTTTACCACAGAAAGATGGCATTGACAAAGCGGTCGACAGAGAGTGTGCTCAACATCGTGGGCTCCTTCACCGGTGTCACTTGGCGTTTGTTTCAGGATTGGGGGCATGAAGAACTAGAGAAAGGAGAAGCCTTTGAGAAGGTCATTGCCACCCTGGATGCAAACTTCGCCTATGACACCAAAGTTCAGTTGCCCACTGATTTCGAGTCATACTTCAACTTGCTGCAACGCACCCCCGGTCAAACACTGTTGTTGTTTGTTGCCGATCATGAAGAAGCTTATAGAAAGTTGCAGCAACACCGCATTGAGCTTCCTCCCTCCGTTCAAGGATGGCATTTACTCCGCCGTTCTGGCCTCACTCGTGAAAAACGACAGCTCATCACCCTTCGTGCACCCAACTTGGAGAAGACTGAGGTGATTGAGGCAAAGTATTTGATCCTGGGCCAGGACTACAAAGGTGGTGGATGGAATTCAGAGCGGAACCGACGGTTCGGAGGCCACTCCCCTTCCTGGAAGCATCGTGCCTATGCTGCTGAAGACTATGAGGAAGACCCGCACCAGGAAGATGAAGGATGGGAGTATGGCTACTATGAAGAAGATGAGTCTTGGGCTGATGATCCGCAGTCTCAGGACTATGACCTCTACGATGATGGCCAGGACTTCGACCACGACGCTGGCTACTATGGTGAGGAGGATCCCTGGCCTGAAACGGAAGAGCAGCAGAATCCCACACAGATGGCTGCCGCCTACGATTCTGCCTTTGCCTCCTACACTGACGCAAGACGACGGTTTCAGGAATTGAAGACAGCTCGTGGATACCTTCCCATTGTGGCGCTCACAGGTGGTGGTAGCACTTCACCCACGGCTACATCACCACAGTCGCCTACTTCCTGGAGAACGAAAGGAAAAGGGAAGGGTGGGTCCAAAGGTGGAAAGTCCAAAACCACCATCCGATATCCACCGCAAGGAGCCGGCCCCAAGGGACGAGCGAAGGCCAACATGACCTGTCTTCGCTGTGGCCAGCCAGGCCACTGGGCAGCGAACTGCCCCCAATCGTCGTCAAGTCCTTCGGCACGATCAGCTGGTGTCAAACGACCTGCATCGATTATGGCTATGACTCCCGCCGCTGAGGAGAGTGCCTTGCTGATCTTCCAAGATGTCACAGGAGCTGAACGCCCCGAGTGTGTCATGTTGGACCCAGGTGCCAGTGCTTTTCTCTCGGGCTATGGACCGTTCAGAAGGTTCCTGGACCACTTGCGCTCCCTGGACTTCCCGATCGACAAGATCAAGATGAGCAAGGGTCGACGTCGCTTTCAGTTTGGTGGCGACGCATCCTTGTGGTCAGACTGGTCAGCCCATGTTCCCACCTTCGTGGATGGCAAGTATGGCACGATTGAGTTGTTCCTGCTTCCGGGCAACACGCCCATGTTGTGTGGAAGGCCGATCATCGAGGCCTTGGGCATGACGATGGACTTTGCTCAACGCCGTCTTCGCATTGGAAGCTCGCCCTGGATGTCGGCCACTCTTGGTCGCCAAGGTGAATACCTGTGGTCCCTCACCAATGAGCATGACAATGTCCACTACCATCCGGAGAAGCCGGAGTTTGTGCTCAGGACCAACGACCAGGGCATTGAACAAAGTGATGGTTTCCTGCTCAACGACTTCCTGGCCGAAGAACATGGCTTCACCTCGTTCGAGAAGATTGATGAGCCAGTGCACTCACCTTCAACCCGGCCTCTTCGAAAGCATGAGCTGAAGACCATGGACACACAGTTGGCCACTCAGCTGAATGATCTGTCGGCCTATGTCACGAAGGAGCTTCACCGTCCTGAACGTCCCCGCATCCTATGGGAGATCTATTGTGGTAAGGCTCGCACTGCTCAGCTGGCTGAAAGCATTTGGTATTTGGAGGCAGTCGATCGGTTGCTGAGGGCAGGCTTGAGACAGCATCCACTGGATCCATGTGCCTTCCTCATCTACGAGAAGGACGATCCTGAGTACTCCGATGATGATCCGATCCACAAGGAGACCAGCACTCTTGGCCCCGAGAAACTATGCGGCATGGTGATCATGCACGTTGATGACATGTTGGGTGCTGGATGTCCTCGTTCTCCCAGGTACAAAGCAGTCACCGACATGCTGCGCTCGACCTTCTCATTTCGAGAGTGGAAGGAGGACAATGACAAGCTGGAGTACTGTGGATGTGAGCTGGAGCGCACTCCTGAGGGTGGCAGACGCCTACATCAGGAAAACTACTTCAGCAAGGTGAAGCCCATCACCATCTCCAAGCACCGTGATCTGCAAGAGCCGCTTGATGAGAAAGGCATCACTCAAGTCCGCGGCATCCTTGGCTCTTTACAGTGGCCCGCCGTGCAGACCTCGCCTCACCTTCAGTGCTCGACTTCGATGTTGTCAGGACAAGTGAACAAGGCCACCACACAGACCGTCCACGACTGCAATCGGCTTTTGAAGTTCGCCAAGGAACACAAGGATGTCAGTCTATACTACAACTTCATTGGACACCCCAGTGAGCTGCAACTCTTGTGCTTCTTTGATGCTGGCTTCACTGCCAGGTCTGACGGCAGCTCACAAGGTGGCTACATCCTGATGTTCGTCAACCGACAGTTGTTCACTTCTGGCGACGATGGCGAGTATCACGTACTGGACTGGCGAAGCTTCCGCACTCCAAGGGTCACCCGAAGCTCACTGGCTGCAGAGGCCCAGGCTGGAGGACAAGCTGTGGACAGCATTGATTTCGCTTGCAAGTATTGGCACTACCTGCACCATCCCAACCTCAAGTTGAAGGATTTGTTGAAGTCAACGTCGACATTGACGCCGACGATGGTGACTGATGCCAAGGCTTTGTATGACTCCTATCACCGTGAAGGAGTCAGTTCATCGGTGATTGACAAAAGGGTCAGCCTTGAGATCCGTGTGATGAAGGAGATGATGGAGGAATTGGGTGGCCAGCTTCGATGGATGAGCTCTGAGCGTCAAGTGGCTGATGGACTCACCAAGGAGTCAGCCCGAGCTCTACTTGCAGCACGCCTTCGTCATCGCCGCATCAAGTTGACCTGGGACCCCGAGTATGTGGCTTCAAAGAAGAAGACAAAAGGAGAAAAGGCTAAGGCCATTGCAGAAACCACTGCAGCAGCACCTCATGTTCCACCACACCAGGAAGAGAATGAGACCCCTGAGGACGAGCAGATTCCTGCCAATGTCAACGTTTCGGAGTACCCGGAGATTTTTTCGAATGAAGACCAGCCAAGGAATGAGGATACTCCTGACGGCGTCTTTTGTGTCCAGAACATGGAGCCTCTAAAGTATGTGTTTGCCATGAGCCATGGCGGCTTGCTTATGGACACCACCTTCAAGTGTCGCATTTCGAATGTCTTCGTGATGTTGCTGCTGGCCTCAATGCCTACCTTGACCAAGGGTCAACAGTGTGTGGCTGAAGGGGAAGAGAAAGAGAGTGAAGAAGGGCAGCTATGGCTGTGGTTGGCCATCCTGGCCATGTTGCACGTCCTTGCGATGGCTACCGTCTTCATGATCGGCCGTTGGACTGCACCACGCCTGGTTCAGGAGAAGGAGAATGTGGTTGACACCAAGGAGGTTGAGACTCAAAAAGATGAACCCATCGTGCATTCACGACTTCGAGAACTACTCCAACTGGAGCAGCAGCGCAGTACTGAAGCTGCGCGATCAGCCAAAGAGTCCAGAACCGCACTGGACCTCCTGGTCGATGAAGTGGAGACCCTCCGAACCCTGGTTGGCACTGGACACCAGCTCATCAAACGGCTGATGTTTGAGATGGAATGGCACAATTCCATGTGCCCTTTCTCGAGGAACATCGTGACCTCGCGAACCTCCGTGTGCTGGCACCATGAGACCTGCCACATTGTAGAGCAGATGAACGGCCCGCTGTATGTTCGTAGAGCATGTGCATACTGTGCAATGCACAGACCACCACCTGATAGGACCAACGAGCATGCACAGACCATCCGCCCGGAGCTCGATGCTTTTCTGGCCGCAGCATCTCCGTGGGCCGAGGGCTGAGATCCCCCCCATGTTGAGACGCACGCTGTGCGCCATGTTTGACATGTCATGTCATGAGTTTCTTTTTCAAACCAACCATATCCCACCGTAGAGGGTGGGCTCGAGAAGCTTGGAAAAGCTGCGTGTGGCGTTAAGTCGCCTTTTGCCCTTAGCTTCGACCTCGTCGTTGCTTCGTATCCGTGTGCCGTGGACTTCGTGCGCTACGGCTACTTCTCTACACACGGCTTTATACAATGGGGGAATGTGAAGAACAGCGCGTTTCGGCGTTTCTACGAGAAATCGATGGTTTAATTAGAGAGTTTTAAGTGAACGATTATAGACGGTTTATGCTGATTCATGAAACTTTGTAGGTGTTTTTGTTCCAGGAGCTTTGCGAATCTTTGTGTTTTTGTTTTAGATTTGTTGCAACAATTGTGTTTTTTAAGGTGCCCACCACCCCCTCAGCTTTTGCCTCAAAGAGGCACCCTTAAATCCTTCCAGTCCGTCAGAAGCGACAGCAGTGGTGGACGGTTGGTAGGTTTTTCAAGGTCAGGGTGCACGATCTGCGACACATGTGATGAAATGGCAGATGTGTTTTGGAACTGTTGATGTTCACATCGATTTGGACATATTTGGACCCCGTCGGATCATCTTAGCCAAACAGTCTAGGCACATGTTCTTGTTTAGCATTGTCATTTGACTGATTCAAGTATACGGGTCTTGGTTTATTTTTTGCTCCACCGGGTCCCAGAATTTGGAAAGGTGTGAAACAACAAGCAGGATTGGACGCTGGATGGACGCTGTGCAGCAAAACAGTGCCTCACCAAACTGGAAGACATAATCTATTCTCAGAACACTTGAATATACTAGGTATACTTGAATTAGGATGCGTACCGCATATAGTCTCTTCGCCTTCCTGTTTTGTTGCAGGCCGTGTTCGCAATCTGTGATGTGGGCTCATTGTTGCATTTCAATATCGACATTCCAGCAGTGGTGTCGATGGTTTGCCATGAAGGGTCAAATCAAGTTTGATAGATAACATGTCCCGAAAGACTACCCGAATGGCAGTTTCGATGTGCCATCATGTCAGTCAAGTCAAAGCTTGCTGGTGTCATGTATGGGCATCCTTCCTTTCAGAATAACAGAGTAGAAGAGTCGTATAGAGTGGTTCTGGTTTTGCCTGATGTTCCCGCCATGTCGGTCTTCGCCACAAGTTGTCGGGCCTCTAAGCAGTTTTCTGTTGAGCGTGGCGACGGAAGACTCGCACAGCTTCCTAAGTCAATTCTCCCGTTTGGATGCCCGGCCCTGATGTGATTCTTGCGATGGGTGTTTGCTGGTGTCTTCAACTGGGCATTTGGGTTACTGTAGTTACACCACATCACTCAAAATGAGGGGAAACCGGACTCACTCAAGACGACTCTTGCCTGATTCGCTTTTTCAGGCTCGGGGCTGATGGTTCCATCACTGGCAAGGCGCGAGTGGCCACCCTGAGACCTTTGAAGATGAGTGGCCACCCTGTGGGCATCTAAATCAAAAGAAAGAACAAACAAGAACTGGATCAAAAGAAAACATAACAGGATCAAAACACCATAAGAACAGAATCAAACAAAGTCATCCTGAGTAGGTCCCCTAGTCCATTGCTCCCTTGGTCCTTTGGTTCCCTCTTGCATAGGTTCCCTCTGGTCCTTTGGTCCCCTCTGGTCCTTTGGTCCTTTGGTCCCCTCCTTTGGTTCCCTAGTCACTAGTCCTTTGGTTGCCTGGTCCCTTTTCTGGTCACGGTCCTTGTCCTGGTCCCCTGATGCATGGGTCAAAAAGCACGGCCTCTGGCGAACACCAAATGCTACCCGGTTGCCTTGGTCCTTGCGTCACTTTCTGAGTTCCCTTCAGTGATGAAGCTATGGGACGTGTCGTTTTCGAGTCAGCTGCTTTTTGAGGTCAACTCGGCCATTGGCGAATCCTATCCGCTGGGCATGCACCTTCATGGTTGGGCAGCAGCATTTGCCACTTCCGCCGTTGCTTGCATCCTTCTCGAAGAGAAGTTTAGTTTCGTTTTGATGTCTGTGGATTCTGGACTTTTCCGTTGACTCAAAACTAAAAATCAACGGCTGCCCAAATTTGGAAAGTATATAACAAAGACCATCTGTTTTTTTGATGTCTTTGGACGAGAATCAAGCCGTTCAACGACGATCTAAAATCTTAACTGACATTTGTTACCGTCCTTTTGAGGGCTGCTGGTGTTTTGTGGAAACACATCAAGAAATGCGGAAAGACAAAGATCAAGGAGGTTTTCGTTTGGCTCAAACCTCAAAACATGAAGACTACACACACACACACGTGCTGCCTAGCAACACCTGCATGTACACAGTTTGTTCCCTTTAGATCATGATCACGTACTGCAGCATGTTTTGTTCCCCACACGCTGGTCTTGTTGGCTGTTTTCAGGGTACAATGTGACAGACACTGGAACCGGAGCGTCAACGGTGGACGGCATTTATGCTTTGACGGGTTGCAGCAACCCTTTGAAGATTGGAGACCGCGGCTGTGACCATGGTGGTCGTGCTCCCACGGTCACTTACAGTCATGTCTCTTGGGTGAAAGACTGGTTGTGTTGGAATTGTGATGGCGAAGTTCATGAGCTCATATTCCTTTAAATAATACACGGTCAAGATCCAGCGTGACTAGTTTCTTTTTCCAAGCATGACGTGTGCTGGCTTTCTTAGATTCTGTCAATGACTTCACCATCTTCAGCACGTTGTTTTCGAGAAACCAAAGCCTCTAAAAAAGTCACGTTCGATCGCTTAGGTGGCATTGGAATCGTGGATGTCGACGTTTCAGAACGTCTGAGATTGGATTCAACAGGAATATCCCGCCACTGCTCCCCATAATCTGGGCAGCATGGGCTATGATGGACGAGCTTCTTTATACATCAGCCGAATTCGTGATGCCGCTTGGGAGCGTGAGGGTTTGAATTTGGAGTTCTATCGTGGCTACAATGTGACCTGGCATGACCCTGCCAAGTATTTGGATGCACTAAATTCGTTAAACATGTTTTCCAGTGACATGAGATTGTCAGTGGAGCCGACGGGTGACTGGAATGGAGTTCATGTGGTGAACGAGACGGTTTTGGGAAGGTGCTTTGACAGATACTTCTGGTGTCTTGGACTGAGTGAGTTGCAACAAGGTCTCTGCAGGGCGAGATCCGGGTGTGAGGCTAGGGTTGGTTAGGGTTTTTGGCGTGTGCGGGCCTGTACAGATTTTGTGAGATTTTCCTGAGTTTGGGTGATGTTAAAATACTGTCAACTGTGATGTGAGGTACCCTCCCATATGCCGTCACGACCCTTCCACATGCTGCATCTACATCACTGGTGGAAATGGCTGGACACTGCGATGCAAAAAGCCACAACGTGGAACATGACAGCGACCGCGGTCGAAGAAACGCCTGGTTCACTCGATTGCCACTTCACGATGCTGTGCTGCTCGGCCGAAGGAAGGAAGGTGTCACACAGGATTCCAAGTGACTTCCAGACAGCAGCCATTCTGCTGATCTACCGAAGTGTTTCCAATTCACAGATAGCACAGCCAATGTGCAGAGTGTTACCCCATGGATATGCAAGCCTTTTTGGGAAGATGTTTCAAAGACATCCACATGTTGAAGCCACTGTTAAAAACACACACACACAGTTCAAATACTAAGTTACCAAGAACACATTCTTTTCAAGACGACGCGTAGGCTTGCTACTTTGAGGGTGAAGGATTCCGGAACTTTATAGTTGTAGCTCCTCGATTGTTTCGATAGCTCCGATCGACGATTGAGGACCAAGTGCTACCACCTTTGCATGTTGAATGCGTCTCATTTTGGCGTTTGCCATAGATATTTAGCTTCACAAACAACCCGGATTCAGCTGGAGGAAAATATAGACTATAGCAGCTGCCTTTGCCAGGATTGCAATGCCATATGTTGCCATACTTTTTGAGTTGCTTCGGGTGCCAAGGGCGACATAGGTTCCGGGGATCACGCTGTTGTTTTGCTCCTATGGAAACAACAACTTCAACCCTAGGTCCTCCCAGTTGGTTTGTAATTTGGAGTTCTGTTCAACCCAAAGGCTCCTCCTTCTCCTCCTCCTCCTCAAATCCACCAAAAGTGCAGCAGTTGCATGAGCCACACATTCCAACATTGACCACTTTCCATGGCTCAACAGCCCACATCTCAGCATTTGTCCGGCTCTAAGCATCGCTTGTCACAGGCAATTGTTCTTTTTTAGCGTCGACGAGCAAAGCTCTCGTCGGCCAGTGGTGTGCCCCCTTTTGGCCAAGCGCAGGAGCCACCCGGTGTGGGGGTCGGTTCTGTTCAGGATTTGGGGAGTGTATCTGACACCCTTGAAAGCTTCTTTTCTTCCTTTTTTCCATTCGTGGTCGGTCCGGGTCCCTCCGACTCGGGTCGTTTTCCTCCCGAAGAGCTCACACGACGATCTTCCGACATCGGTGAACATTCGCTCCACGACGATGTCGGAAGATCCGTCAGAAGTTCTGTGTAGACCAGCTGCGCGGCGGCACACGAGCTGCGCGTTCGTGGAGTCCGGGACGGTCCTTATGGGACCGGACGATCTCCGGGGGCGGGAATTGATTCGGTTCTTTGGAGAAGCCCGGTTGATTTGGGGGGACGGTTTTTACTGTAGATGTTTTTAGGAGTTGATGAACGTCATGTTTGGCTGTTTGGACCCAAACTATTGGTAACCCTTTTCAAACGAGGGGGCATTAGTCTCTCTAGACTCTAGACTCTACGCCTCGACGCAAAAACCGCGTGGCACGGATCTCGTGTGGCACCATGCGGAAAGCCTGGCGCTCGATGTCACCGCGCCAGGACGGGCGCGGACCGGATGGATCGCGAGGCGGAGATCGATCGCTGGGAGATGGATGGCGTTCGTTCAGTTGGAGGTGAGTGATTCATGACACGAAGACTAAGACTTGCAAGATACCTCTCGGAGATCAAGTCTGAATTTGGGAGGTACAGCACGTGCAGTCTTGACTGGGTGACCTCTCTGACAGCCCTAAACCCTAAACCCTAGACCCCCAAAAAGAGTCTTTCAATGGCGCTGAATGCGAAAGAGGTCTTGGATGCCAATGCCGGCGGGTCGCTCAGATTCGGCGCAAAGCCGCGTCCGCGGCGGGAGTTGGTATAGCCGACTGTAGACTTGAGACACGCATCACGAACCAGTATAAAACCTGGTCTTGACGACCTCCTTAAGTACTGGTCTTGTATGACCATCTGCAGTATGTCATGAGGTCAAACTGACTTGTATGGAAATCTTGGCTCCACAACGAACATCAGCTGGTGGAGACTATAGAGACCATTCTGTTCAACGCTCGCAACATGCACGGCTGGTTGGCTTCATTGGCCTGGATGATCTGACGTTTAAACACCTTGCACCTATATAGTCGCTTCTTTCTGTGCAAGTTTGGTGGTGTGTTTCACCACGGGTACGGTTTTTTCTTTCTTCACATCCATAAGTCGGGAATTGGGCTTCACGAGAGGCAAGCTCTTTTTCAAGAATACATGTAAGTCAGACACCCAGGTTTCTTGCGGTGTGTCTCTCTTGGCAACGACCATGGAAAATCCCTATGCAGGTCATGTTGGACCTCATGAAATGTGAAATACTGAAGTGGATCATACAAAAACACTACCTCCATTTTTGGTGTTCAGGACCAAGTTCTGCTGGGTCTTTCAGGTGCCGAACAAGCCGCGCAGCAGCTGCGGGTGGCCGCCCAAGGCGGTCAACTGGAGGCCGTGACGCCTGGCCGGCAGACGGGGCCAAGTAGTGGATGCATTGTGCATTGCATCGGTCCAAACTTCACTCTTTTTTAAGAGAAAAGGACCCACAAAGTGCGGTCATTTCTTCACTCGGGTACCAAACTTGCCTTGGCCACCGGTCCGATCTTCACTCTGGTATAAGTCCTTCTTGTCACTGACGGACCGGTACGTCCTCTTACCACAGTCTGGACAGGTGTGAAGCGAGAACCGGACCGAGGTTCGTTCGTAGTCTCCGATCACTTCAGAGAGCCAGAAGCGGTCCAAATCAGGTTTAAATCTAGTTATCCAGTCATCGAAATGATATCCAAGTTTGTAGACATAATTACAAGAAGCATGAAACTGCATGCTGTAGACTCTTGATTAATGAACCCTTCCACTTGAATTGGACATCCTCTTCATATGGGGGGGTTTTATGGTCCTCAAGAGTCTACATCACTGTAGACATCCAGTGTTCTCTTCACCCTACAGGCCGCTTTCTGACCTAGTAGAGTCTGGTCCTGAACACCAAAAATGGATGGAGTAGTGTTCTTGTATGATCAACTCCAGTATATATATACACTTTGTGTTCTAAACACATCAAACAAATGCCCCAACTGCGTCCATGTCTTCAGGCTGTGCGCCAGCTCCTCCAAGAGGACGCTTTTTGCGCCAGCTCAGCGGATGGCACCGACACCGAGGGCGGGGTGGCCGAGGGGCACGGGGAGAAGAAGTTTTGGAGTCCTAAGTAGGCATTCGAAGACATGTCAAGACTCTGCAAAACGATGTCTCACTTCTGGAAAGCGATCTCTAAGATGAATAATTACTTGATTAAATGAACTTCGGTGCCCCATTGAGACCAAATTGGTAGGGTGGTTGTCCATTGACCTCTTTTTCAAGCAGCTGGTATGATTTTTCTTATCTTTGGATCCCTTGGATAGACGTCCCCCACGACCATCGTTGCCTGAGGCCGGACGGCACTGCACCTGGCGGCCCTGAACCGGCATTTGGAGATCGTCCAAGCGCTGCTCGCGCATCGCGCGGCAGTGACGGCGGACGCGGAGGGTGCCTTGGGCGAAAAACGGATGAGGATGGTGGAGGCGGACATGATTTTGGAGTATTTAGAATCAGTGATCCAGTACACCATGCGGCACCATGCGAGTAGAGAATCACATCGGAGAATTGAGCGAACAGATGCACCTGCGGGTGGAATGTGACTGTGGTGGGTGAACATCGAAGTGCTGGGTGTGTGTCAAAAATGCAGAGTCCACGACTTCCCAAGGGGTTGTTCACGAGGCTCCCTGAGATGCCTTTGAGCAGCAGACAGTGACACGGTCCAAGTCCGCTTCAAGTCCTCGTTTGGCAGACTTGGAATCCTTGATCCTGCCAAACCTTAAAACATGCAGACTTGCGCACGCATCTTGTGTTGTTTAGACCCCAAAAGCATCGATGTAACTGTCGACCCCGCATGGAGCCCCTGGTTGACGGCTTCACACTCGTCTCCTGCACTGGCTGAAGATGTAGACTTTCTGCGACGAAAGTAGGGAAACGTAGGGAAGTTTCACCCCCAATAGAGATTCTATTGGATCCAGCCACCCGCATTCCCTACTTAAGCAGACTAAGCACAAGTCAGTCTTGGTGTGTTATTTCTTGTTCAGGCGAAACGCCCCTGCACCACGCGGCCTTCAGCGGCCGCGCAGCGATCGTGGCCGAGCTGCTGGCGGCGCGCGCCAGCCGAACGGCGGAGAACGCCAACGGCGCCTCGTTTCGACCCGTAGCAGCAGGTGCCACTGCACCTTTCTGGAGGAAGAGATGGGAAGAGAAGAGTGACACAAGCAATCACAAGCAACGGATTTGGCCAATGAGCGAATTAGAGGTTTTGACTGTGCTCAGGATCTCAGGTGAAGAGCTTCTTTGAACCAAAAACCTATCATGTGAGCAGCTGTCCATTTCCGAGTCAAAGAATATTTGTTGTTACTGAAGAGAACCGTTTTACTGTTTTACTGAAGTCAAGTTCTCTTCTTCTTAGTGTGTGCGTGCTCCAAGACCTTGTAAAACGCTAAAAGCAGAGCTGAAACAGAACCAACATTCTCTTGTTCTAGCGAAAGTAAACAGCCAGTGTTTTTATACAACCCCACTTCTTGACTTCTTGAAGATGTTCTTTTGGTCTTCGGCCGCTGGTTGTTCGGACCGCCAGGTGGTGAAGGCAGCTCCAAACCTCCAGAGTTGGTTCCAAGACCGGCCTCTCATCCCACGCCACCAGCACGCCCCGCCCGAGTGGTATACGACCCACCACCACCCACCGCGTGCGCTGGGTATGCCACGCCCCGAGGCCGAACGCCCTTGGACTACGCTCAACTGAAAGGCTCCAAGGAGGTCTTGGCGCTCCTCACCGCGGCACCCGGGCAATGGGACGGGTCCGGAGCAATGGGTCGGGTCGGGAGATGGGTCCGATGGGTCTGTGGCATGCCGCGAAAGGAGAGCTTCTCCGGTCCGTCTCTTCTGAAAAAGGAGCAAGTCTTCGTTGTATGGAGATGTCAGGATCTTAAGACAACCATTAGTACAAACATTTTTAAGACATCATGGGAGGGGTGGTTCATGAATCAACAGATCTACATGAAATAGGAGAGTTCGTTTTGTCTCTTTTCGCTGAGTCCATCCAACATCGACTCAGTTGGATTCCTCGACTTGGCCCAACTGCTTCCTCTTGGTGCTCAGGAGCCTTTGGTGGATGAAGAGACTGCAAGCCAGGAGCTGGTCTTGCTCTTTTTGCAAGAAAACAACTCCTTCTACTAGGGGTGGAACTTCCTTTTCACTGGGGTGGTCGACCTATTTATCTTCTATTTTTGGAGGGAAATGGCTTGGGAGTGAAGTGTCGTTTGACTCATCATGTACAGGGTCAGGATCTTGTGATATTTGGTGTGTGAATCTCACCGACTTCATTTCTGCATTCCAAGCACTTCGAATGTCCTGGCCGACCGACGGGCCTTTGAACGGTCGCTAGTTGCTAGCGTTGGTGTTCGCGTTGGGAAGAAAGAGCCGTGAAAACGCAGAATGAAAGGGGGTGGGACCTGACCATTGGAACCTCTTTTCAGGTGGATTGTACTGCGTTGGTCCAGGCTC